ACTTACAAAACAAACTGCCCTGCCACAGAAATGGAGTGGCCACTTAGACGCTGCCAAGAAAGGGGAAATTCATAATAATAAAAAAGAGAACAAATGAGGGTACGTATTTGCATGAAAAGAACATGCTGATTTGTATGCAAATCTAAAAATAATTACTATAATTTAAATAGAGATACAATACATCCCAGCACAGTGTGGTCTAGTGGTTACAGTATCAGACAAGAACCTGGGAGACCAGAGTTTAAATCCCCACTTGGCTGTGAAGCTCCCTGGATGACCCTGGGCCAGCTGCTGCCTCTCAGCCTAACCTACCTCGCAGGGCTGTTGTGGGGATTGAATGAGGAGTGGGAGAACCATATACTCCATGTTGCTCCTTCTAGTCCATGCTTCCTCAACCTCGACCCTCCAGATGTTTTGAGACTACAATTCCCATCATCCCTGACCACTGGTCCTGCTAGCTAGGGATCATGGGAGATGTAGGCCAAAAAAAATCTGGAGGGCCATGGTTGAGGAAGCCTGTTCTTGGAGATAAAGGAGGGATGCTATAATAGATGGTGAATGTCTGGGCCCAGGTGACTTGTGTGTCAACCATCCAGGTGTTAATGGACAATTTCAAAGCTCTTGCAGTTCTTGATATTCCATGATATTCCATATGGACTTGTACTGGACAGCCCTTCAAATAGATGCTTCCTTCCAATGGAGTGCTGTCCTGTGAAAAATGGGTCACATTGCAGACCTTTCCTGAAATTATTTAGCAAAAATGTACAACTTCAGCTTCTGAGCAAGAACCTCCCATTACTAGGTCAGTATACGAGAAGTGCACACAACTGCTTAGCAAGCAGTGCATAAATGCTCACCGCCACCTACTTTGTGAGATGCAGTGTTCATTTTTTTTTTAATTGCTGGTATGTGGGAGGTTATCAAAGGCACTTCTGATATTTGGACCTAAGAGTATTTTTTGCCACACTTCACATAGCTTCATTTCAAGTGGCCATTATCAAAGCAAAGCACTGTACATAAATATGCATGAGAGGCCATTATGGCCTTGAGATGATACTTAAAAGGGTCAAGTGTCTCTTACCAAGATTTTTCTACTTGCTATAAGACAGGAAAGTGAGCGCTTCATGTTCTTAGCCATAAGCCATCCAGATTTGTTTTCCTAAATATGACCCATTTCTCTACAAGAAGCTGTGACGCATCCCCATGCAGCATCTTCCTAACCATACGCTGTGCATTATTCCCCAAATAATGTCATATCTTCAGCCCTCAAAGCTTCCCTTTTTATCCAGATGTTTGAGGCATGGGGTTGGTCTTTATTCAAGGTTTATGAGGCATTTAACAACTTGGGTATCGCCTGATCCTTTGTATATCCCTGCTCAATCACTGAGGTCTTCTGGGGAGTCACTCTCAGTGGTGCCCCATGGTTGAGGTTGTGGTTGATAGTTCAGATGCACAACTCCTATCTTCTAGGAGTCATGCCTTTTGAGCCCAGTTGAGCTCCCTTCCAGTTAAGAACAGACCGCTCCTTCCCCCCACTTCCAACACTTATTGAATACATTTATTATTCCAGTGGACTCAAATTTCAAAGTTTTGACTCATGTTTAGCCTTCTTCTCATAGACAACACTTAGGAACAAGTGTGATTAAATGGTATACAAATTGTTCAAATGAATGGCTAAATATTTGCCCAGTGGTAAAATGAAAGTGTTCTACACATGCTCAAAAGCCTGTCTCAATTTTATTACAGTGGTACCTCAGGTTAAGTACTTAATTCGTTCCGGAGGTCTGTTCTTAACCTGAAACTATTCTTAACCTGAAGCATTACTTTAACTAATGGGGCCTCCTGCTGCCACCGTGCCACCGAAACACTATTTCTGTTCTCATCCTGAAGCAAAGTTCTTAACCTGAAGCACTATTTCTGGGTTAGCAGAGTCTTTAACCTGAAGCGTGTGTAACCTGAGGTAGCACTGTATTACTTTCTATGTGCAGTAGCATTGAAAGGAGTTTCCAGGACAAAGCTATCATCAATCTAGCACAAATTAACCCCTGTCCCTTGCTCTCCATTTTTGACATTTTCCATTCTGGATGTTTATAGTCCTCATTATTCTTTCATATGGATAAACCTGGTGGTTCAGTTATAGCCCAAAACATCTGGAGGGCACCAGGTTGGGGAAGAGCTGCTCTGTTGTTTGAGACAAAACATATAATGGTATGCGCTCACCTACACTTTCCTACTAAGTGCCCACCGGGCCGGCCAGCTACACAAGGGCAGGAGAGAGAAATAAAGGTTACTCCTAAAGCTGTGTTATTTTCAAGAGTCTTCTTTGGTTTATTAATTTCCTTGGAGAAATAAAAGCATTGGTTTAGCCCTGAAACCCTTCTTTGAATGGCAAGATTCAGCCTCGCTCTGCGAAAAGTAATAATAAAGAACTTGTCTTCAGCACCAGAACTCAACTCTTGAACATATAAAGTAATAAGGAAGAGTTCCTTTTCCTCCCTGCTGAGGCATTAGCAGCAGCCAAACACATCTCAGATTAAAGATAAGAACTCCCAAGCCACAACGAATGGCTGCTAAGGAAGCATTATTTGTTAATTACTCTACTGACATCCCACAGAGGAGGTTACAGGGGTGTACAGGGATACACAGCATTGCCTCCCTGCCCACACATATTTCAAGCATGCTGGGGGGAACACATACATCTCCAGCCAGCCCACTAGTTGTTAACAACTGAATGTCCATTGTTACAAAAGAAGAACTGTGCAATCCTATGTAGGTCTACTGAGAAGCAAGTCCCACTGAGTTCAGGGGAGCTTGATCCCAGGTAAATAGGCAAAGGATGGCAGCCTAAACGTATGGTGGCCATTTGAAGGCACCCTCTGGTTGAAGAGTTGTCTTGGCCAAGTCCAGTTGAAAGGTTAAGAACCCAAAGAAAGAGGAGGAGGAGGAAGGGCCTTGGAGTTGCCCACCCACCGTGATCACCTAGACAGCAAACTGAGCAGGGACACAGCCTGCCTGGTCAAAGTCTCCTAAACTGGACTAATTATTTCTAAATTTGCATTGATACATGCAAGTTTGCTTCTGCAGACCTGATGTTCTCTTTCTTGATGCAGTTCCTGTTTTTCGGTTGCCCCAAACAAAAGTGGCAATTTAACAGTTGAAAACTTTGCTGTACTGATTGTGGCAGATTAAAAAAGAGAAACTACAACAAATGCTCTGAATAAAATATATTTCTTCTTGGAATTTAATCTTTAATTTGTCCAAAAGCTGGCCTTTCCACTCAGCCAATATTTCTATTCTCTCTCCCTTCCTGCTCCCATCTAATGATGTCCCAGCCTGAGGATGGCTGGACTACAACGCCACGTGCCTTCAGACTATAAACAGGACACAAGTTAAGAATCTGGCATCTCTCTTTCTGAAAAACCAGCACTGGAAACAATCTCTGCTGATCCAGTTTACAATGACACAACAATTCTAAATGCTAGAGGGTTGCTTTCTCCTATCTCTTCTTCTCCTCTTCTCCTTTCTTGGATGAGGGTGATCTTCGAAATGCTTAGAAGGAGGAAAGGTCTGAACCGCAGGTGCTTGCACTTTACTGAACATATTGGGAAAGCATTCTTTAAAATATGCTGACCATGAGCAAGCTGTTCCCCAGCTGATGCTGTTCCTTTCGCTTCAAGCCAGTTTAGTCACATCCTCAGCTAACAGATGACTGACTAGGGATGGGGACACCTTTGGCATTAGTAACTTCTTAGCTCTTGCCGGGGAAGCTATGTCATTAACTCACCACTCTGAAAAATCTCTGTTCTTATGATGTCTCCTGAAATATCCATCTCTTTTGTCCTGAAAAATCTTCATTGGCTCCCAGTGCGTTTCTGAGCACAATTCAAAGTGTTGATGCTGACCTTTAAAGCCCGAAATGGCCTTGGTTCTGTATACCTGAAGGAGCATCTCCACCCCCATCATCCAGCCCAGACACTGAGGCCCAGCACCGAGGGCCTTCTGGCGGTTCCCTCACTGCAAGAAGTGAGGTTATAGGGAACCAGGCAGAGGGCCTTCTTGGTAGTGGCGCCTGCCCTGGGGAACACCCTCCCAGCAGATGTCAAGACAATAAGCAACTATTGTACTTTTAAAAGACAACTGAAGGCGGCCATGTTTAGTTTGATGCTGTATTGTTTTTAATATTTGGTTGGAAGCCACCCAGAGTGGCTGGGGAAACCCAGCCAGATGGGTGGGGTATAAATAAATTATTATTATTATTATTATTATTATTATTATTATTATTATTATTAAATAGCCTCTTTAACTAATTGAGATTTCTCTTTCTTTGTCATGGATCAACAGTGCAACTAGACAGGACATCAGAGGGACCCAAACTGAGTACTGCCAATTTCTTGTCAAGTGGTGTGCACATATGTGCATGTATGTGTGCATGGATGAATTCAAGTGAAGCAAAGACAGGTAGAATTGGCAAGCTGATCCCTCCCATGCCTTTCAATGGCTTTTTAGACATTGCTATCCCTGGTGACTTTCAGTCACAGAGACCCACCAGGAGAAAAACTGCTAAAAATAAGTGTAGGGAGCATTGTGGGGAGGACTCAGCTCCCCTCCCCCCCCCCCATGCTGCACTTTAAGTCTCTCTCACCCCCCCCCTCTACAGCTTTATAGTTGCTTTGCATCTTTATTGTTGCCATCACATCAAAGACAGTCAAGATGGCCTGCTTAGTGACCTTTGATCCTGATTTGCTTGCCCAAAGTTCTATGGAGGTTCTACCATATCTGGTCTTGATTTTTTAAATATTTATATTGATTTTAGTGCAAAACAGTATAACAGTATAACACAAAACAGTATAACACAAAAAGAAAAAGAAAACAGGAAACAATAAGGAACCACAGGGGAAAAGGATGGCCCCAATCAAATGTTGCATTCTGTGACAAAAGGAAAGTTAACCCAAAAGTTCCAGATCTCCCAAGAAGCTGGTGTAAGTTGTTGTTGTAAGCAGTATTCTTCATGTACAAAATAAAACTCCACCAGACATTTTAAACAGCATCCACTATAGTTGTGCCTTGCAATGTTTGAAGATGGAGTGTAACTTTTTCCAAAATAACAACATTCCAAACAGTCTTGTACCAAAGAATAAGCTTGAAGTCCTGTCATGTTTTCCATTTCTGAGTGATGGACAAGTGTGCAGCAACCATAAAAAATATTACTAGATCTTTTAATGTAACCATTTTATTATTATGTCCAAAAACAGGAGAGGAAGAAGTGGGGACAACTGAATTGACTCCTTAGTAACTGAAGCAATTTCTTTGAAAACCAAGAACCAAAACATACATACCTGTAGGTGGAAGTACATTTCCCTAGCATCACAGGCCTATTAGAATTAGGTTGACCATTCAGAGAAATTTATGTACTTTAAGAGCAGTTTGGCAAGGGAACCAATGACCTAGAAGGGTTGTGGGCTCTCCCTTCCTGAAGAACTTCAAGTAGAGGTTGGACAGTCATGTGTTCATGACACTCTAGCTCCGGATTTCCTGCATCAAGCCTCTCCAACTCTATGATTCTATGATTCCAATCAGCTTGTCAAATAACTGACCTTGAAATGACCTGTGTATAATAGGCAGACATTTACTTTTGGTTAAAACCAGTAATCTATCTAAGAACAGTCTTATTAACATCTCTCTCTTCTCCCTGACATCTCTCACTCTATTCCTCCGATTCAGGGACTCCTGCCTACAGAGTAATCTCATATTATGCTGGCCTTCTTCGCATGGATGGCTTTTTATGGTTATCCAGTATGAAAAGGCATCCTGCAGCTTCTAAAAAATGGAAAACATAAGTTACTGAAGCTCCTCTATGTCAGCTGACAGGGGAGGGAGTTGGCACATTCATTTAAAGAGGAAGCAGTTTATGTCCAATAATTGCTTAAAAAACAGCTCTCATGCCCTCTCATCTGAACAATTACCTGCTTATCCCGGATATCTTAGAACAGACTTTAGTAACTTGGTGAGTAAAGGATACCAATGGTTGAAATATATGTGGTCAGAGCAGGTGTGCCGGCTGCTATAATTTGTGACAGCATTCCTATGTATTGTTTTTAGAATTGGGGGTGGGTTGTGTTGTCTAAATGGAAAATGAGGGTTTAGGACTTATGGGTATCACCAAGGTCTCACCTTTGAGCACAAAAAGGAATTCCAGACATGATGAGAGACATTCATTTCTTTATATGAGCTGCCCACAAAATTAACTCTTGCCTTTAGTAATGGACCACCCAGCAAAGGTGCTTGGATCTATCTATAGAGGAATATTCTCTCAAGTCAATAAATCCTGAGAACGGTGCTCAGTAACGAGACTGTCAACTGATCCGAGTTTGAAGAGCAGTGATGATTTTATGGGTTTACCCCTGAGCAGCTCAAGTAACTGCTGACAATTTCCTTGCTGCCGCAAACCAGTTGTCAGTGGATAAGGCCAATAATATACATTAAGGTCTGGAGAAAGAGGAAATGACACAATCTGTGCAGGGACCTTCTTGTCCTTTTGCACAAAGGCAGTGTGGTTAGCAACAGAGGGTGAGACAACACTGCACAGGCAGCAAAAGGTTCATTAGGTTTTTGAGTATGCAATCCCAGCTTTCTCCCACAGAGTAGTGAGGTCAGCCTTCATGGCTAAAGCCATGAGAAATAAATCTTGAGCCAAGGGAGATGGCTCCTAGCTTCTGGATCCAGGGGAAAACGACATCCTGTTCTTTGCACAGTGTTCATTTTAAACGCCTCTGTGGGCTCATCACTTGAGCCAAGAGAGAAACTCTTGACTGAGCACTAGGTGCATTTTAGGGAAATGAGATGTTGACACCCCCTCTCCCCAATAAAAAAGGGAAATGAATCTTGCCAGCTTTCATTTGCGGCTGCTTTCTGCCTGTCTGAAAGAAGTTTAAAGCAAGTACTCAAAACTTTTTTTAAAAAAAAAACATGCTTTTAAGTGGAGCATTATGGCCTAACTGTGCATGATGCTGACTGCATTGCTGCCAACCATATCGGCTTATTTAAGAGTTGGTTTATTTGAAACAACCTCCTGCCCCAGTTTTATCAGGACCACAACATACAGGAAGCATAGGATTTCTCCTTTCCTCGCTATCTATTGGCTCTGCAAAAGTCCCCCCCCCCCCCCGCAGCAATGGGAACTTTTCAATGATTATGAATTGCCATGTGAGACGAGTCACAATTTTCCTTAATATCACAAAATGGGGGAAAGAAGGGTAATACTTTCTCTAAATCCCAGCATGCTGTGATCATTATAAAAATCCTCCTTCTCCTGTGCTTACTATTAGATACATTAAAACCTATGCTGCGATTGGCACTGACACATTTAGCATCACATGTTTTCAAGCCCAAAAAATGTGGGGCAATATTCATATTTCTAGGGGTACCCCTGGCATCTTAGGTCAGAAACTAATTTCTCTTATCATGTCTTCTGCCAAGGAATTGGCAGTGCTGTCTGCTCCATTCTTTGTATTGCCACCATCCCAAATTAGTGAGAATAAATGCCTGATCTACAGGGTTGTGCAAAGAATTAATGCATTTCTTGTTTGAGAACGTGCTTGGATAATATGACATTTCCCAGGCTGAAATCAGCCAGAAGGTTGAAAGCACTTTGTTGGTATAAACTAAGCACAGGATTTCAGGTCAGTGCCAAGCAAGGGTGGGTGAACTATACTGACCTCAAAAACTATCAGGAGGGCTGCTAGCAAACAACAGTCCATTCCAACAATTGGGCCTTCCTGGTTTGATGAGGTGAAAGCTCCATCTTCACCTATAACCATCTCCATCAGTGGCCAGCCCAATGATCCCGAGGTGAGAAGCTTACAAACAAGGCAATATGTTGATGGATCCTGCACAATTTAAAAAATAAAAGCCACGTATTTTTATGTATTGAAATGCCCCGACCAATGCAAGCTTGACAGTGCCTTTGTTCCCTTTGAGGAAAATGAGAAGCTCCATTAAAAGACTGTTTCAAGGCACACAGCAGCTGACCAGAGCAGGGGACAGAAATGGAATCAAGTGCCGAGGGTTGGAATGCTGTTGACGGCTGGAAGGAACACGACTGGGATCGAAAGCCAGCCGATGAGTCAGACCAGGTCACAAGCGATGTAATCTGAGCTAGCCCAGACGCTGTGAGGTCAGACCTCACGCCAAGGTCGGAAAGCCAAACCATGTCAAGAAGGCAACAGGAGACAGAGCCAAGCGAGAAGTGGGAGCCAGGAAAATGGAAAGAGGGCTGAGACAACGCAGAACAGGATCGGAAGGCAATAGTGAGGCAGAGAACATAAACTTGGGCAAGAGGATGGGCAACAGATGAGGCCACAGCTGCAATTTACCAGTTTGCTGCAGGCCCGGTTTCAAAGTTCTTGTGTTAATTCATGAAGCCCTAAGCTGCTTCATGGATCACCTGATGCCTTCTGCTGTTCCTCAGTCACTGAGAGCATCCGATGGAGCACTTTCAATGGCACCGTCCATGTTCCTGAGGTTCACTCAAACTGCCCCAGGGACTGGTGCCTGTAGCATGGCAGGCCCTGCTCCATGGAACTCCTTGCCCGTAGAGCTCCAGCAGGAATAATCTCTGCCTTCTTTTGACATCTTTTGAAAACTGTATTATTCAGGCAGGCTTTTGAAATGGGAATTTCTTTTTACCAAACAGTATTTATCAGTTGTTTTATTGATCTTGTTGTACAACATAAAGACAACATTACATCACCTTCCTGGCCTAAGAACAGTTAATTAAATCCTATGCACACTTACCCTGTGAGTAAGCCCCGTAGATCATAGTGGGACTTACTTCCAAGCAAGCATGCATAGAGATGGGGCTGCACAAACTTGATCCCACAGCCACTTAGTTTCACTCAACAAGGCTGTTTATATAGTGGCCCATGGCCTCCCAAGCATGGATTGTGATTCAAGTAACCATAAAAGCTGTGGTGATAGAGTAACATCCTTTGTGCTGAGGAATGGCCTACCCAAGTCTGAAATTAGCTCCTTCCCAGAAGAAATCTAGCATGGTCCTCTTGTTCCTGAGGTAAGATATGACCTGCCTTGGGTGGCTTTGGGCCTATACTGCTCTTACTATGAAGTAATGAGTGTAAACTTCTAAAAAACAAAGTGTAATCTTTTATAATATCTAAACTTTTTGAGATATTAAGATGATTTTTGGAGTTTCAGGCTATGAAATAAACCATTCAGAATGGGAATAAATGAATTACAGGCAACTAATGAAAATTAGCGAAGAAATATAGAATTAAATAGGCTGATAAATGAATGTCATATTTGGGAATTTGGTTAATATCAAATCTTAATGAGTTGTTTATTTAGGAACTATTACAGCAGGCATTGGCAAAAACCCTTAAGAAAGGATTCCAGACTGAATTGTCCTGGTTAGGAAAAATTGCATTTAAAATTAAAGCTGTGAAAGGGTACACTGTTTGTTTAAAAATGTCACTGCAAAGATTGATAAAACCATGCTGCAGAAGTGGCAAAAAATGCCACAAAAATTTCTGTGGGACAGCCAAAGATCTTGAATTCCCATGACAACCTTAGAGAAAAGTTTTAAGGAAAGAGGAGTACAAAATATTTTATAATAATAATTTAAAAAATAAAATTCTCACAGATATTTAACCTGAGCGGAGGCTGCGTCATCCTCAGAGCTTCATTTAGAAGCTACATAGAGAAGCAGTCCCTTATACATATGTATTATATGCACACAGGAGCCAAAATAACAGCCTAACCTATGCATTCCAGAAGATAGATGGAAGCAGGTCAGCAGTAGCGCTAGAAAGACAAGTTCCATTAGAAAAGTTGACACTAGCAGAGCTAATGAAGATTCTGGTATCTGTTTTTGCACAGGATACAAAATATCAAGTAACTGGATTACAGAAACATAGCAGTGATCATGTATTTCGTTTTTCTGTCTTTTCACGACAAGGTAATTACATTTGCAGTTTAATAGTAACAGTGTTTGATGGCTGGGATGGGTTGGTGGAGGCCATGTGATTATTCCCCTGCTGTTTCTTTTTGCTTTAAGTATGTCTGCTTCATTCTATTCCTCCACAACAGAAGAAGTAGCCACCTATTTTCCCTCACTGTCAGCTCTAGAGCAAACCCTTTTCATCGGACTCTTGCTGGACTTTCAAGTTAGTAAGGCCAGTTTTATTCAGATTTCCCACCAACCCCCATGGAATTTTATTTTGAAATGAAGTTAAAAATAAGAGCACAACAACAATAACACACATGCAGCAATACAGTAAGATCTCCAAAGAAACGAAGAAACTGACTGATTAAAGTCCTTAACATATCACGCTTGTGGGGTGGGACAATTGGAATAAAATAACTTCAAGCAGTAGTTGGGAACCTCTGGCCCATGGGCATAAATCAGTCCAACAAAAGGCTTAATTTCACCAGTGAGGTTGTTTCCCCCGAATTAATAATAATAATAATAATAATAATAATAATAGTATTATTTATACCCCACCCATCCGGCTAGGTTTCCCCTGCCACTCCCAGTGGCTCCCAGCAGAATAGCAAAAACAGGATAAAAAAAATCAAACATTAAAAACTTCCCTAAACAGGGCTGCCTTCAGATGTCTTCTAAAAGTCAGGTAGATTATTTCCTTGATATCTGAACCACACCCACCTGCCCCATAGCTAACACCATAAGCGATGTGAAGTGCGGTGGCAAGCAATTACTAGATAGTTAAGATAATATCACATTATGGTTGCAATTATTACCAAGCTGCTCTGTCCTATATGTTACCTAGAGGACTGTGGAAGTAAGAAATGTTCTGCGGAGGTGGGGGGGGGGTGTTACACACTATTTGAAGGAGAATGTGGCAATTTTTACATCAAAAAAGCTTCACTTGTCAATGCAGTCAATGAACATCCGTTGACATGATGGCAACGTCATTGACGATTTGCAGATAACAATTAAAGCAATTTTCATGTCACTTGTAAAACAAATCCCCACCGTTTTACATTTTTAAAATAAACATAGGAAGAAGAATGCATTGTCTAATTCAGAAACCAAATTCAGATCACCCAATGAAGGTGATCCATACGAGGTTCTGGTGATGTGCCATATTTCTTCACACTACTGGGTACCATTTTAGATTTTTACTGTGGAGGGGGCAGTTTTAAGCAGAAGCCTACAGGCTGGCTCTCGCTTGGATTCTTTTAGAGTCTGAATATGAAAAGTAATCCAATTGTGCAGAGCTAGTTTTTGTTTTAATTTATTTTTATTAAAGGTTTTCTTGGTTTACAAAAGAACATGCCTTGTCTCTTTTTTCAGGTTGTACAGTCTTTCTTACAGACAAGTTACATTTGTTGTCAGGCCTTAGTGTTGAGCACAGTATAAGGTTAGGGTTAGTTTTTGTTGTTCTTTTTGAGGACACTACCTGATGTGGAAGAAAGGGAGATGCTTAACAGGAATATTTAAACACCCTCTGTACATCCAGATTTTAAAAGCTCAACACAAATGTGGGTTTCTGAAGGGACTTTCCTTATGCTGCCTGCTTCCAATAAACATCCATTTAAAAAAAAACCATAAAAAGAATGAAAATGCAGTAGCCCTTCTGAATGGAAGAAACTACAATAATACTTTCTATTTAGCTTTAATATCTTCTTCTTTTAGTGGTGCAATAGGGACAATAGGGGGCCTGTCCACCCCAGAGTTTACTGTTTTGAGTTCCCATTTAATTTGCTTAGTCCACATGACATTACCCTCAAGCAACAACAATCCTGATGTTTGCCCCCTATAAATACAGGTTTATCCAGTCAGTTGGGGGAAATTGGGCTCCAAACTGTTCTGGGGTGACAGACTATTTGGGTGGGTGGATCAATCATCACTTTCTGCTACTCCCCTTTCCACACCCACTCCTTAATGCTTTCATTTCTTTTCTGGCTGTGCTCATTACTATTTCCAGTGTACAGCTGAACAGAGCATGATATATATTTTCTATTGCTATAAAATACAAAACCAGTAAACTGCCCAAGCAAACCACATTAGAAATTGTGTGCTGAGAATTTATAGTTATCTGACTTGGTGTTTTTGTTCATTTCCTGGGCAGGGATTTATTTATTTTTTTAAAAAGTGCCCCGTGCATGCCCTCTGGGTACTTAATCAACAAAGTATAATCAAGCAAATTAGAATGTGGGAACAAACACAAAGGAAAGACTAGAGCTGTTCCGCATACTACATACTACATGGAGATTCAAATACGCGCAGGTTCGGACCACAGCAATCCAATTCAAGTGCTAGGGGGAAGTGGATTAACAGCTAAATAGTGCTCAAATGCAGACAAGACTTGATTCCTTTGGGTGCTATAGCTCCGGGCTTCAGAGCACAGAGAGAGAATACTAATCTAACAGGGGTTTTCAACTCCACCATGTCACACCTGACCTGGCCTTGATTAGTTAAACTCAAAGGCCCACACACTGATTCCAACAAAGTAGTATGAGGAGTTTTGAAACCTTGCAGGGGCTAGAATAAGACAAGGGAGAAAGGGACCATCTGTTCTGAAGGCTGACTTTGATAGGGATGTAGAAATCCTTCCTGCCAGTCCTGGGACTCCAAGAGCTTCAGTTCCACTGTGCACTTCTTTTGATCAACGCAAACTAAGGTTGCAATCCACAACACAGTTAATAGCAAAGCATACATTGATTTAAATCTCTGGATTTCACTCTAGATGCAGGGCAAAGTTTGACCTTTGCTATTTATTGTGCATCTCAATTGCTGGTTGAGATGTTAATGATAGATCATGATGCACAATGGTGTAGCTCAATCTCTCGGACACAACACACTGTCTTTGCTACATCTGTCCAAAGAAAGTGACACCTGGGAAAGAGGATGTGAGAGTACTTCTTCACTTGGAGCTCCTTAGATGAAAGGCAGTATATAAATGTAATAAATAAATTAAATAAATGGCCGCCTACTATTTCCCTTATGGTGACTTTCTTATTTCTCAGTAGTTCCTCACAGCTATACTTCTCACTCTTTCAAATAAGGCTCAAAGCACATTTTACTCAGAGTTCTGTATTCCTCCCCTCTGTTTTTCTTTTTTAAAAAAGGAAGGTCAGCACTTTATGAGTTGGGGAGAGAAGCTACTTAACCCTTTCCCCTGCAGCCTTTTGCTCAAAAGCACCCTCTCCAGCTTGCTTCTGCAACAAATAGGGGAAATATATAGGGTAGGGTCCCACTCCTTTTTCCCTGCAGGTGAAAAAGCAGTTTTAGGAAGGTGATTAGATTTCATTAGCTTTAATATTTACACTATGATTTTCTGTTAAAAGAACGCTCAAAGCGACGTACAATATAAACCAACAAAAATATAAACTACTAAAACTGCATGTTCAATAATGTCAACAACAAATTCTAGCTGCTGTTCCTCTTGCTGCCCCCAAGAAAGCAGAGTCTCTGGGACTCTGACCCTGACCCAGATGCCCCTCAAAAACCACCCTAAATTGCTGTCTTTCCCCCTAGCATCTGTTTGAAGGCCACAGCCATTCACATTCATGGTCAACCTCAGGCCACTCTGGTCATTGCCTGGCCTGACAGTCTATTCAGTATAGGGAAAAGGGTTAAGGCATCTCTCTCTATCCACCTCTCCTTCCATCAAAGTGTTTTCAGGTTAATTTTGCTTTTTTAAATACATGCAATGGAAGAACAACACTGAGCTCCCTTTGGGTAATTTGAGCTTAAGTTTAAACTCATTTCTAGTTTGGAAGGAGGGAAGTGAGAGAGGCCTTGTTCCAAGTGCAAATCTTATGGACACATTTAACAAGGTTTGTTTTTGTAGTATCTCTCCCCCTCACCCATCTCTATAGGTACAAGAAGACAGAAGTACAGTGGTACCTCGGGTTACGTACTTAATTCGTTCTGGAGGTCCGTTCTTAACCTGAAACTGTTCTTAACCTGAAGCACCACTTTAGCTAATGGGGCCTCCTGCTGCCACTGCGCCGCCGGAGCACAATTTCTGTTCTCATCCTGAAGCAAAGTTCTTAACCCAAGGTAATATTTCTGGGTTAGCAGAGTCTGTAACCTGAAGCGTATGTAACCTGAGGTATCACTGTACAACTAATTCAATTATTGCAAGTAAATAAATATTAACTAAGTAATAGGTACTTACAGTGCATAGAGAGATTTTGAAGGGCTTGTTTTTAAGAGGAGGTAGAAGAAAGAGGGGGGAAGAGGGAGAAAGGAGAAGGACAAAAGAGTAACAGAAGGAAGAAGTTGAGAGACATGCTCTGAAAACTTAAATGTGTTGTAGGTTAGAGTTTAGCATGGGTCCCAAGTCTGAAAAGTATGGAGTACAACAGAAACCTCTCAAGCCTGATTTAATGCTAAGGCTCCCTGCCAAGTGATGAGCTGTTAATATAAGGTTCTGCACTGCTCTCTGCATCCTGCGCTTGCATGCACAGACAGGAACAACATGTTTGCATAAACAGTTATTTACAGCCTAACCTTATGTACTTAAAAGGGATCCCCACTGATCACAATGGGGCTTCGACCCAAGTAAGTGTGCAATAAGACTGCAGCCTTTTTCTGTTCAGCTGTCACCAAACAAGAGACAAGAGCAAAGGGAATATGCTACTCCTGAACATTTTTTGTTCCTGGAACTGCTACAAGACTCCATCCCACTCCGCCTCTCCTAAACTGTCTCTGTTTACCACATAGCGGGGTGGGGTGGAGTATCTGTGGCCATCCAGATGTTTCTGGACTACAAGTTCCATCATCACCACTCTCAGGGCATGGCAGCTGGGGCTGACAGGAGTTGCAGTCCAACAATATCTAGAGGGTGACAGGTTCCCCATCCCTGACATACAAAGGAAATTTTACTTCCTTTATGAGAGTGGAGAGGCTGAGAGTTGTTAGCCTCCATCTGTCTCAAGAGATGATGGACGGCGCCTCAGGGGTGATGCCAAACCTCTGGAGAATCACAGCACCTGCTGTGGCTGCAGAGACTGGTAACTTGTAACTACCTCCTTCATTGTTTTTGCCACGTTAGAAGCACCCAAGGGTCTTCCTCAGGGTACAAGCCAGGATGGTGTGTATGAAGGTCTTGGATTGCCCAGACAACAAGACGCTCCCCTCCCACCGGCTTCACTGATGTGGTTCAAATGAAGATATCCCACGAGGCAGAAAATGGGCTACCTTCACAGGTTGATGAGCCCCATCTGCCCATCACTACCCTCTACCACATGAGCAGATACCGCCTTCTTGACCATTGGACCCACTATTGGTCTTTTCTGTTCAATCCACCAGAGCCAGTCTTTGCATGCAGGGGAAGTCCCTAACTCACTGATGGTTTGAGACCTATCGCCTGACCTCACCTGGTTTAGCTGGCCAGTTGAAGCATTCCCATGCTGATGGTTTCTAGGAGCCACTGGTGAGAGCTAAGTGGGGAGCAAATGTTGACAAACTACCCCAGAAGGAGTATGGCATGGCCCCCACCAGGTGTACTACCCCTCCCCTAACACCCCATACACCCCAGAAGGTGAGAACTCTGAGATATTACTGCATTTGTACCACAA